GTGAGGCGCAGCAGTTTTATCAAGTGTCTTCAGTGTAAAGTACGATCCAAATGTTTTCCTACCGGTGCACGTTGGCTGAGGAAACACACACAGGACGGCCAGAACCCTGCACCTGTGCACCGGAAAGCCGCCGCACTCACCAGTCAGCCATGGGGGCCACCCTCCTCCTAATGACTGTCACTACTTTACTGGAAAGCACTTCATGGTGATTGTGGAAATTTAAAGTGTTCCATGAACCTGCCGCATGTTTTTGGAATGTCGGAGGAAACCAGAGTTTCTGGGGAAAACCCACACAGGGAGAACATGTAGACCCCACATGCGAAGGGCGGGGCTGGAATTTAACTCTGCACCGGGTGCATTAACCAGTCGACCACCAGGCTGCCTCAACATTGAGCATCTTCTGTCTATTTCTAATGAACTGTGGTCATCGGAGGATTTAAAGTATGCTTTTCACGTGAAGTTTGTTTGAAACGTCCCCCTCCGTTTTCTGTAATGGACTCACTCTTTCCTTTTCTAGTGTCCAGCTACAGAGTTGGTCTCGACGTGTCCATTGAATTCGAGTTCCGAACCAGCAGAACTAATGGCGTCCTTTTGACCATCAGTAACCAAGGCAATGATGGTCTTGGTCTGGAGATTGTTCAGGGCCAGGTATGAAGAGTCATTCGAGGTGATATAAAAAGCATTGCTGTGGCCAGATTGATTAATTGATCGATTGATACCAACCAACAACTACTTGTCGTTCTTGTAGCTGCTATTCCACGTGGACAACGGCGCCGGACGGATCACGGCGCTGCACGTGCCCGACGGCGACGGCTTCTGTGATGGCCAGTGGCACTCTGTCGTCGCCAACAAGGTTCGCCACAGGGTGGAGCTGCTGGTGGATGGGAAGCGGAGCCAAGCTCAGAGTTCCAATGTGCGCTCCAACACCTGCGACACCAACGACCCCATCTATGTGGGAGGCTACCCGGGTGAGAGACACTAAGACACAAAAGTCCCACTTAACACTCAGCAGTACCATAAGTTTAGTTCACCACAGTATAACGGAAGGCGAAATTCAGATGTAGCTCACATTGAACGCAGGCAGGACAGCAAGAGCGGCGTGAGCTGCGTCGATTGCAGAGTGCAGCCCGCCCTGCGTTTTGGAAGTGCTAAGTCAGCGATGTGCGTGTTTTGTTCAGACGGCGTTCGTCAGGCAGCTCTGTCCGGCCGCACGTCCTTCAGAGGTTGCATGAAGAACATGAAGATCACCAAAGCCTCAAAGGTCATGGAGGTGCACTTCAACAAGGCTCTGGAAGTCCAAGGGGTTCAACCGCTCTCGTGTCCCGCCGTCGCTGCCTAACAACCCGCCCTTGAAGCAACTTCCCATTTTCCCTCCGCTGTTCCATTTACTCTTGGTAGAGGGTTTGGATACTGACTTTGATGCAGCTTGATTTCAGCCTGGTACAATAAATACTGTTCATGGCTCCTTCATATTCTTATTTTATGCATTTGCCCCATTTCCCCGCGACACTCACTCAACCATTCAAAACAATCATAATCATCAAACGATTATTTTTGATCCACTGGCACGCTTCCTCACTCCAAAGGTACATTCGCTTACCTTCTTCCACAACATTACCACTATCACAACATTAGCACGTGACTCATTGGAGTTGGGTTGTGTCAAATATTGTGCCTTTACATCAAATGATCTTCGGAGGTATTCATTTGACACACTGCATCTTATTTGCAGGCGTCCCTCAGAGTGTGTTTCGTGGACGTAGGTACAGTCAGCAAAGAAACAAGCCAAAAATTCATTTCCAACCATTTGTAATACATAGTAAACTAAAGCTACAGTTAGACTAGTAGTACATTTTGTGGTGGATGAAAATCTCATATCATACCAATTTGACTTTACTTCCCGATTGTCATGGCTTATTCTGTTTTTCTTTTTATTTCACACCATAACTCACCTATTAGTTACCTACCCTTCCTTCCTTCCTTCCTTCCTTGTCTTACGGCTTTCCACGTATCGCTATCCACACTGCAAAAATATCCCAAGAATAAATACTGCTTGTTTCTTAGTGTACGACTGACCAGACATTTTTAAAGGGTGCTAAACGAATGAATAAAGCTTGACTTGATTGCTCACTGCCAGTCTTTCGCATGTGATATTTGACCCTTAGATACCGTATTTTCCACACTAAAACGGGCACTGGATTATGAGGCGCACCTTCAATGAATGGCCTATTTTGTCATTTTTTTCATATATTGGACGCACTGGATTAGAAGACGCAATATACAATGCATACACTAGATGGAGCTACACTCCTTCCGCTCGACTTGAGAGCTGTTCATGACCGCCTCCGAAAAACGTAAATTAACGATTCCTTCAATGAAACTACAAAAACTGAAAATAATACATCAAAACAGAAAATCAAGCGAGGAAATCCCAAAATAAATTCTACAGCCCCCCTACAGAATGTATTTTGGCATTTCCTTGAGCGTAGCTCCAACAGAACAATCAGATGTCAGTAAAATATAGGAGACTGGACTATCTCAGAAGTGTTTGTTATTTATTCCTTTGTTGTGTACTGTATTCACAAACAAGGAAATCACTAAATAAATTCTGTAGGGGGGGGGGGATTTCCTGGCTTGATTTTCTGTTTTGATGCATTATTTTCAATATTCGTAGTTTCATTGAAGGAATCGTGAATTTACGTTTTTCGGAGGCGGTTCTGAACGCCCCTCGAGTCAAACGGAAGAAGAGAAGGCACAGAGATGGCCAAAGCCGTACCTGCATTTGTTGAGACTGTGAAAACCATTAATAAAGTGTGCGTTTTAAAAAGACAACACCACAGCGCTCCTTTTTTCGGAGCTGGAACAAAAACCTATTTAATAAAGCAGCGACACAGTTCACTGAACCAACAGCAAGTTATAACATTGTAAGCATGTCTCCAGCAAGGAGCCATCTTGGGGTCGACATATTACCGTCATGACCATATACAAGGCGCTCCGGATTTTAAGGCGCGCTGTGAGCTTTTAAGAAAATGGAAGACTTTTCAGTGCGCCTTATAGTGCGGAAAATACAGTACTATTAATTTGAGGAATAATTACATTATTGTCATTCAATTGATTTCATCCATCCATCCACTTATTTTTATCGAGATCTATAAACATGAATTTGAATGTATGTGTGGATATACACAGACCATGTGTGGAACAACATCCACAAGAACAGGATGACTCCCGAAATTGCTATATTAGTACCTCAGTAAGTACAACCGTGTAATATCTACATGAATTATATTTCAATGCACATTGGTATGTTTTTTTTTTAAATCAACTAAGTGATTGCTATTTAAATTTAGTATCATACGAAATCGGGTTTATTCAAGTTTTGGGTAGTGTAGGGCATTTTGAGTTTCTAAGTGTACCTCAACTCATTTCCAGTAGGTGTCGCTGCTGCAACAGCAATGAGTTTCCGTCCAGCTGCCGCATCTGAAACTTGCTCAATGGTTGCTTTATCAGAGATTTCAGCAGTAAAAAGTAGCTTTTTATTTGCATTAATAGGACACTTATTCCGTCACACTAAAATGAGTTACTATAGCCGATGTTTTCGCTAAAGGTTTTAGTCTCTCTCAATAAACAGGCCAAATCACCATGTTGTGCATTCCACTTTTATTTTCATATTTTTCTTTACATGAGAATGACTGGAGAGTCGCCCGATATGTTTGATGCTGTGGCTACACGAAGTGGAATGTTTGGAAGATTGGAACCCATTGGAAAATATCAACGTTTAAGTGTTAGGTTGTTGTTTTTGTTTTTTTTTGTGCTTGTAAACTGATCACTATTACATGTGTATTTTGACCCACTTTACCTTCAGTGCTAGTGCAATCTTCCAGCAGGTCCACTCAGAGTGGGGAGTCATGTTTTTCCTGTCAATCACAGCCTCTGTCTGACATCGCCATGGTGATGAATACTCGCATCCAAGAAGGTCTAACTCCAGCATGAATCTCATCCAAGGTTTTTTTGTTTTTTTTTTCCACATTAAAGTAAGCGGACAGCTTCGGCAGCTCACTAGCAGAAACGTGAGTAGAGAACGAACCCAGCAAGGTGCCATGAACGAGTGCCACTTACTTTTGTACTTGTTTTTTTTTTTCTTTTTCTTTTTGTACGTCCTTCGCACTGTCATTCTGCTGTCCCAGAGTCAGCTCGGATTATTTATTGCATGCTGTTGGCCTTCTTTAACTCATCCGGGGAGAGTTATCAAGCGCGCTGGCGGTCCGATTCAGTCCGGCGGTCCGATTCAGTCCAGCAGTCGGGCGCCCTCATGAGTTCCCGCTCAATACCCCACACGCACAAGCCATGGTCCTTTGGGTACCACGCATCCAGCTCTGCGTCCAGACCTCATCAAGACGACTGCATGAGGCCTGTCAGACGTTTCCCAGTCAACGACTTACCCTGGTAAGACAATGCGTAAAAGCAGAAGGGAGGAAGTTCAAGTAGAAAGAATGTCAGATTATGGTGTGTTGGCACATATACCCCGTGGATAACTGCTTTTATATTAATGAACCAAGCAGGGCTAATTATAATTATGCCAAACATACAACAACAATTTGTGTTGTTCAACACATGGCTCACCATTTATCGAACAAGCGTAAAAAAAAAAAAAAGAGGGCTCTTTCCACAGAGGAATAACAGGAGCTGTTTAAAGTACTGTAAATGTTTGTGCGTGTATGGATCAGCGCAACAAAAGACCAATTGATCCTGGTAGTTAACGACTAACACATGACAACATCCACCCATGTGCAATCTAATGAGAGCAATCCAAAATTATCCATGCTCCTGTACGAGTGTACTGCAGTGGATTAACATCTCTCGAGAGAGCTAATTAAAACAACGCCTGTTTGTTTCCCATTGTCACTGTTGTAATTGTTGAGTTCAAACTCACCACACTGCGTGTGAACTTCTCCAGCGAGGTCCGTCGGCCCTGTTCCGTTTCCAGCTGTAGGAAGAGCGTGAGCATTAGGAGAGGGGAGACCACAGCTCCACCACCTCAAATGTTACACTGCAGATAATGCACAGATGGGGCCCTATTTTCATGCCGAGAATAAATATCGCGCAAAGTGCGGCCCAAATGTGCACATGGGCAGAGATTTTTCACTGTTATTTTCCTAGGCTCACACAGGTGGAAGAGGGTGTTTGCACCATTGCGCGCTGCCATGGGAGGGAAAACAGCCGACTCCCAGCCAATAGAGGTGGCTCCTCTCGTTCCCTTAAAATCGGGGCAGTCGAGGCGCACACAGTCCTTGACATTGCGGAAGCCGAAATTGACTCGCTGGGATCCGTGCACGAGATTGATGCACACAAACTGCAAGCTCTCCACTTGCGGATGACATAGTAGGCCGGGATGGAAACTGGAAATTGTGGAAACTCCGTGCGCTGTCACACTCAGAGAGGTACAACATGGCTCCAAACACACTCGACTACTACTTGTGCCAGCACAAAAATTAGGTTAGCCCTTTGTCTTTTTGTCTTGTATTACTAGACCAACCTTCTTTCTTGAATTCAGCAGGTCCTGGTAGATGCTGGAGCGCAGGAAGCGAGTGTAGCTGTCGCTCTTCATCAGCTTGTAGATGTGATCCTGAACGTAAGGCACAGATGGAGCAAAATGAAATGCGGTTCAACTAGTTCAGGGTGTACCCTGCCTACCGCTCGAAAACAGCATACCCGCGAGCCTTGTGTGGACAAGCCGATTTGAAAATGGATCACATTTTGCCATAAATTTCATTGTTAGTGTTGCATTCCAATGCGCCCCCCCCCCCCCAACCTGGGGGCGCTCAAAGCTAAACCGGTAGCGTCCAGGATCTTTGAGATTGTGGCTTGTGCGCTCATAGCTGTGCGAATCCAGATTGATGGAACTGGGAGCTCCTTCGGCCAGGAACTCGGCCCAGATCTCCTGTGCTCTCTGCGCCACCTCGTGCTGCGGGATTCTCTTCAGCTCCTGCACGGCCAACCAGAAGCTGCACAACGTCCAATCAGTGAAACGCTGCTCAGCGTTGATGCTGATTCAGCAAAACAAGCGGCACCGTGTCATGCGCTCACCGCAGGTTTTCAGAGCTAAATTCGGACTCCAGGAACTTGAGGAAAAGATCACGCCCCGCTGGGTCCTTCAGAGCCTCCTCCAGGGAGAAACCCCACTTCTTCACCCTCTGCTGACCAGGCTCCTTGCTTTGGGTTGACAACGGCAGAGTGTCATGTGTAGCTTTAGAACATCAAAAAAACGAATCGACTGCACAGTCGGGGGCTTTTCCGCACCACGACAATGAGCTAGCTAGCAAAGGAATGCGCTTGTGGTTCTCATGAAGTGGGCGGGGGGTCTCCTCAGGTGTTTACGGTCAACCTTTCATACACTTTTCTGCAACCTGTTCCAACTTTTATCGGGTTCACCTCATTTCCATCATCCCGCCACCCGTTTGGTAGACATC